GATACCACCATCAACTAAGTACTGGGAAGGGAGAGGCACCAGGAGGAAGCTGAATCCCAAACGTGGTTCATATCTTTCATACTTGAGGGCAAGTTGGATTTTCAGGAGGGAAGATTTGATAGAGACTTTACTAATTTGAAGAGAGGAGATAAATACTCTAATAAAGTGTATTCTAGAAGGAAGTAGGGTCGTTATTAGTATAGTCTGTTATGAGCTAATAACTGCCGGTGGTTAGCTTTACTTACTATAAATAGAATACATTTGGAAGTTGTTAGTAGGCTGTTTTTGACTTGTAATTGGTTCTGGGAAGATCAGAGTGTATCTCTATCTTGTTGCCTAAGTAATAAAAGTTGCCTTGAGTTCTTGAATCAATTCTGTGATCTGTCAGACTACAATTGCAGATTCTAACAGATCTTCCCAAAGAACAACTAAATCTGATCAAAGATGAATTACAAAAACAGAGTCCATGAGGGGAAGTTAATGAAATATCTATAGTAAAAATATAAAAATAGAAAGGAAAATACACACAGATTTGTACTTGAGAACTTGTTAGTAAAAACCAAATACAAAATTAAAAGTAGTAATCTAATAATAATAATATATTAATATACCATTCCAAAAGTATACTTTACAGTCTGTTTGATGCATATTTTAAAGCAGGAAGGCAGAATACAGCTCAAGATTTTCATAGAAATAAATTTCAGCCTTTACTCCCAATAGAAAGAAATTCATAACATACAAAATCCAATAGAAATTCTAAGTGAAGTGTCAAGAACAGCAGAAATTGTAGTCATTCAAGCACTACTTTCAGTCTTTCAGAACCTAAATCAAACTCAAAAAACAATTTATGCATAACAGTGTAAAATGGATAAAAACTAAGCTAGGAATGTGAAACCTAGTGATTAACTAGTAAAGTCAGAGAATAATATGAGAACCGGCAAAATATAGATGAATTATGTTAATGGTTAGCGGATGTGGGCACTGGGCAATGTGGTACAGACATAATGGAGAAGACGATGAAGAATTGTGAAGTATCTGAGAATAAAATAAAAAAGTATCAAAATAGTCTTACCAAAGTGCGGCATGTTTCCACTCATTTGAGCTCTAGGTGCTAACAACTTAGGAAGCTTCTTGTTTGTTTGTTTTTCACCCTTTTTCCATGACTGCTCTTTAAAAGTTAGAACTGCAAAAGGTTAAGTTCAATTAATAGGAAACATTACTATACTACAACATATAGTGGTAAACAAATAATAGGAAACAGACTTAGACAAATTTGAACTACTAAGTAGGAATAAGCCCAGAATTATTATGCAGTTTTCATTGGTCAAATATAGTTCTGAACTTTCTGTGTTATATTATATATACTAGGGTGTGTTACGCCATAACAAGGCTTACTGTGTATGTGCAAGGTTAAAAAAATAAATGTCAGCTCTATGTTAAATGTAATACGGAGTATATAATAATGAATTTGCCCTTGAATATTGTTTTCTTGTACTGTGTGACCAAGTTCATGTGTTGTTTAAAATTATTGATAAACCAGAACTAGAATCCAAAGATTTGCTTTACAAAATACAAAATGCTCACCATGAAAATTAGAAGTTTATAATTTACAACAGCTTACTATTGTGCCCATAAAGCTTACATACAAAATTTAAGTTTCAGAACATGCAAAATAAATTCCATAACATACATAAACTTCATACTGAAAGTGTAAATCAATTTCATTTTCATTTTCAATGTCAAAATCATAATTGGTCATTAAAATAAATTTCACAACATTCAAAATCCAATAGAAATTTAATTGTAAGATAAGTCAACAACAAGAGAAGCTTAATCAAACTCTGAAAATATTATATGCTTAAGAGAAGGGTAAAAATTGATAAAAGCAAAAGGATGTGAAACCTAGGTATCAATTAGTCATGCCGAACATGAATCTGAGAAGCTGCGAATTAGAGACAAATTAGAGAACTAGCCAATCCAAGAAGAACTGGAGACTCAACGAATCCAAGAAGAATACCAGAAACCTATGAATCGATGAAAGTTTGAAAGTGTGAATCCATCAAGAAAGCCAAGCGCAGACTCATCCCAACATGTGCCGGCCCTGGAGAGGGAACCCTAAGTAAATTGAAAGTTAAAAAAAAAACAATATAGTAATCCTATTAATTGACCGGGAAAAGGCCGCCTTTTGTCCGTGAGTAGTGCCGGAAATCGAGCACTTTGTGTTTAATCACTCGCCGGAGATTTCTCACAGGTCGTGGAAAAGTCGTCGCTCGCCTGGGCGTACGAGCTTAAACACGCTTTTGTTTGCTTTTTAGCAGGGATGGATAGATTCGAAAATTAAAAGGTAAGGAAAGCTTACAATTAGACCACGTCGGAGATGGCAGAGAGATGAAGTTGCGGGCAATGAAGTAGCCGCAATGGAGTGCAGAGGCGTACGAGATAGGGCTGGTTCCATAGGCTATCGCAGTATTTTATACCATACCTTTACTTTACTATACAGTAAATTTTCTATATGCAAAAATATACTCCCTCCGTCCCGAAAACAACTTCCCGGTTAGACTTTCACACACTTTTAGGAAATAAATTTGACTTTACTATAGAATGCACTGTTTTGCACTGTTTAAACACCGTTTGACACTGTTTAAACACTGTTTGGCACTGTTTAAACACTGTTTGGCACTGTTTATCACTTTTTTGATGTAGATAATTTGCCAAATAAGGAAAGTATTGAAGTGTGAAGTTAATTTTGGGACATCCATTTAAGGAAAGTGGGAAGTTGTTTTCGGGACGGAGGGAGTATACCGTTATCATACCGAAATTTCGGTATACCTTGTTTCGGTATACCGAAATTTCAGTATGGTAAGATACGGTATCGGTAAATTACCATAATTTAATATAACAAATTATTATATGTCAAATGAAATAAAGAAAATCAATGTTAATAGTGATATACTAAAATCATTAATGAAATTAATTATAAAATACCAATGAGATAACTTATTTGTGTTCTATTCAAATTTTGACAAAAAATATTATAAATATGTAGATATTTCAACACATGATATATGAAGATAACAACACATTCAACTAAAATAATTTAAACAACATAAATATAATTAAAATGCCACCGATCTCCAACGAAAGGTATAAATAATTCAAGAAACATGGATATAAAGTCATATATCCTTGAATTAGTGTTGTGTTTCTAGTTATTTTTATAATTTTAAGGAAATTATTGACTTAGAATTACGGTATAACGGTATACCGGTATACCGTTTATTTCCAAAATATATACTGATATCATACCGAAGTAATTCGGTACGGTATCATACCGTACCCAAAGTGTCGGTATACCAAACATTTTGGTAAATTCGATATTTTTCGATATGGTAAGTCCGGTATACCGAAATTTCAGTATTTTTCCCCACCCCTAGTACGAGACGAAGAACTGAGACGGGGACTACTCGGTCCAGCAAGTTTTATGAAGATAGGGTTTTTAGCAAATGCTCCGTACATTAGTTCTATTTGTTGAGCGGGTTTATGAAGATAGGGTTTTTACTTTTTAGCAAGTTTTATGAAGATAGGGTACCCCAATTGGTACCCCAATTTGTACCCCAACCTATTTTTGTGACTCACAAAAGCCCACCTCAATAAATGAATTGCCTCACTTTAATGAGGTGCTTTTGTGAGCCACAAAAATAGGGTGGGGTACAAATTGGGGTACCAATTGGGGTACCTTTAGCATTTTTCTTAGAAATATGCGGGCTGATTGTCAAATTACCAATAGCGAGGGTTTTAGAGTTTGCAACATCAATAATGAGAGTATCATTTAAACATCATGTATAAAAAAACAAATTGCTCCTTGTTTTAGTTAGAGGATTTTTCCCCTCACAAAAGCTCTAAAAACAGTATTATTAATGACGGCATTATCCATTATTCACCTGTCACTAATTTTCGTAGTTAAAGGTTGCCTTTCTTGTAGTGTTTCAAGTCTTGTCTGATCTCATCTTGTATGGCACTGAAAGTTGTCCAAGTAAAATATCCTATGTCCATCAAATTTAAGCGAAAAATCAATCACAAAGGCAGTCAAATAATGTTTTGAAAGTAATTATATTTTATATGTTTATTTTGACGGAGCATTTTCAAAAATTTATTTGACCGCCTTCTTGATTGAAAATTTTTGCTGAAATTTGGTGGACATAGTAAATACTTCATGGGGAATATGCATACAAATTTTCACCACCGGAAACCACCTCAAAACGATGTGGATGAGCGGCGGCTACAATCAAGTATACTTGATCAAAAGATTACTCTCTATATATATTTATGTATGTGTGTGCGCGTGTGTACCCATCAATTAAAAAAGGTTTTAACGTATAAAATAAGAATTAATATGAGAGTTCACAAAGTCAATCTAACATACAATAAACCTTATCTGAATGATTTTTCAAGTAAACATTATCTGATACACTTTTCGAAAAGTGCATCAAATGAGGTTTATTCGAAAGTGCATAAGATAAGAGTTATTGTGGATCGGATTGAAAGTTTGGATGACTAATATTAATTTTTATTTTAAATGGTAAGATGTCTTCTCATTTGAACTCAACTATGATTCTATACTTATTTCTTCTAACTCAAAGTTGATATTTTAGTTTGATGAATTTAAATTGTCTGATGAATAGAACATCTAGCTTGAATTTTAATTTTAATTATGGGCAGTTATTTAACTAATACCAGAAAAGATTTGACTTTTAGAACCGAAGAAATACATATTAATTGTTACACTTTAATTAGTGCCCATATGAGCCATGTGTTGATCATCTGATTTGATTGGAGGTTAAGATAATGTAGAGTGCTTAAATAAAGGGGCGTGGAGCGGTGTTTAGTGGGTTGTAATTAATATGAAGTGTCTAGTGTTTGGTTGATGGGTCCATGCATGCACGGGTGAGGAAAACTTAAATGTATTTATAGAGCCTTGGATCCCTACACTTCATCACAAACGAATTCGATACTGGAGGATATATATAGAGTGAGAGACTGAGAGCCAAACTTAATCACAACTTAGAACTTGAGCAGAAAATTAAGTAAATCCGCAACAGCCATGAGACTTGTTCTAGTTTTTGCAGCTTTCGTTTCAGTTGTTGCCTCCACAGAGTGGACTCAGCAGCCATTTTCATGCGATCCTGCTGACCAAAAAACAAAGTCGCTGGGCTTTTGCCAAACCAACCTCTCAATCAGCGCCCGAGCCGCCGACCTCGTCTCTCGCTTCACTCTAGATGAGAAGATCGCCCAGCTTGTGAGCTCTGCCCCGGCCATTCCACGCCTCAGCATCCCCGCCTACCAGTGGTGGTCTGAAGCTTTGCACGGAGTCGCCTACTCCAGAGGCACTCCCCTCAATGGCACAATCACCACAGCCACCAGCTTCCCCCAAGTCATCCTCGCCGCAGCTTCCTTCAATGAACACCTCTGGTACCGCATTGGACAGGTAGTACTGTATTTTGCTCATATACAGTAGTTATTAATCAATCAATGAGTCATTTTTAATTTGGGTGTACTTTGTTATTGAAGGTTATTGGGGTGGAGGCCAGGGCGATTTACAATGCAGGGGAATCAAGAGGTCTGACCCTCTGGGCTCCAAATATTAACATCTTCAGGGACCCAAGATGGGGGAGGGGTCAAGAAACCCCCGGCGAGGACCCAACCGTGACCGGAAAGTACGCTGTCGCATTTGTCCGGGGAGTGCAAGGCGATACCTTTCTCGGTGGAAAGAAAAACTTGAATCACCTTCAGGCATCTGCTTGCTGTAAACACTTCACAGCGTATGACATGGAGAACTGGCATGGAAACTATCGATATGGATTCAATGCTATTGTACGTACTCACCACTTTAATTACTCCGTATTGTTTTCTTTCCCTATTAGATCGTCTGTATATACTCGTATATATTTTACTTTTTATCCATGGAAAACTTTAGCTCAAGGATTCATATAGTACGGAGTAAGCAAGTCAGACTGTTTTTGTAAAGGAGTTTTGACCTTTTCCAAAACAAGTACGTACGATCGAATTGAAGGAGGCATACCAAGTGGGAGTGTAAATAGTGCAGGGTAAGTTTACCAGCGTGGTAAAGGTAAAGGTAAATTTACCAGCCATGAACTAGAAGTAATTCTGCCACTATAGATTTTAGATTAAAGGAACGAAGAAGAATATATCGTAACGCTCTGACTTTATTCTCATGAGGCAACTACCTTATATACAAATACAATCCGTTTGGCTACAACTAAGGAAGGCTATAAATTAGGAGATATAATTACAAAGAATTGAAAACAAGGAAAGAAAATATACCGATATTCACTAACTCCTATTTACATGCGTACGTCCCACTATGTACGAAATAATGTACAAAATTATTATACCACAACACCCCCCCTCAAGATGGAGCATGGGGATCCAAAATGCCCATCTTGCCAAGAAGATAATTAAATTGTTGAGAACCCAGTGCCTTAGTTAAGAGATCAGCTGGTTGTTCAGTGGTAGATTGGTGTAGAGCTTGAATAGTGCCAGCTTGAATGTGATCACGAATAAAGTGACAATCAAGTTCTATATGCTTCGTCCTTTCATGAAAAACAGGATTAGACGCTATATGAAGAGCGGCTTGATTGTCACAGAAAAGACGTATAGGATATGAATGTGTCACGCCCAAGGACAATAGAAGATGCTTTAACCAAACTAGTTCGCATGTGAGTGTGGCCATGGAGCGATATTCGGCCTCGGCGGATGATCGTGATACCGTGACTTGCTTCTTGGTGCGCCACGAAATGGGAGACTGCCCAAGTGTCACAAAATAGCCGGTAAGTGAACGACGAGTGTTGGGGCAGCTAGCCCAATCAGCATCACAGTATCCAGATAGAGAAAGATCAGAATCAGACCGTAATAAAATACCCTGTCCAGGGTGTCCCTTGAGGTAGCGTAACACCCGAATAACAGCGTCCCAATGGACCATACGAGGTTGCTGCATAAATTGTGAGAGGATATGGACCGAATAAGTAATGTCCGGGCGAGTAAGAGTGAGATAAATTAATTTCCCAACTAGCCTGCGGTAACGCTCCGGATCGGGATAATAAGGACCAGTGTCGGACTGTAAGCCATGATTCGGGACCATAGGAAAAGTGACAGGCCGGGAGCCGGTCAGGCCTGTTTCAGTAAGAATATCCAAAACATATTTGCGTTGGCTTAAAAAAATGCCAGAAGGATTACGTGCCACTTCTAAGCCAAGGAAATATTTCATTTTGCCCAAATCCTTGACCGGGAAGGATTTAGCTAGGCCAGTCTTGAAATCCAGAATCATTTGATGATGATTTCCTGTAATAAGAAGGTCATCAACATAAACAAGAACACATAACATGTGATCTCCTCGCCGTAGAGTAAAGAGAGAATAATCTGCATGTGACTGAAGAAAACCATATGATTTCAGAAAACCAGTCAATTTGGAAAACCAACAACGGGGAGCCTGACGAAGTCCATAAAGAGAGCGGAGTAAACGACACACCATGCCCGAGGAGGTAGCGGAATACCCCGGAGGTAAATGCATATAGACTTCCTCCCGAAGATCTCCATGGAGAAAGGCGTTATCAACATCCATTTGGTGCAATTCCCAATGACGAGATGCTGCAACAGCAAGAACGGTACGAACAGTGACCATCTTGGCCACCGGTGCAAAGGTCTCTGTGTAATCAACGCCCGCCACCTGCCTATTTCCGCATACCACCAATCGAGCCTTGTATCGGTCCACCGTGCCATCACTTTTGTATTTAATTTTAAATACCCATTTGCAATAAATAGCCCGCTTTCCCGGTGGAAGCGGCTGAAGTTTCCACGTACCGGTTCGTTCAAGAGCCTGGATTTCACGTTGCATGGCGTCCCTCCACTTAGGATCCCGCACCGCCTCGTGATAAGTGGTAGGTTCTTTATCGACAGAAAGTGCTGCAAGAAAGGCACGGTGTTCTACAGAAAAATGATTATAGTTTACAAAATGAGATAAGGGATACGGATTACCGGAGGGTACCGATGTGGTTGAGCGCGCGATAGGAGAGGAAGTTATTTTCACTGTATTAAGCCGAACTTCGTAATCTTTATGCCAAGTAGGCGCCTGTCTTGTACGTGTACTCTGCCGGAGGGACGAAGAGGAAGTAGAATGATGCTCGGTATGTGTAGAAACTCCTGACTCACTCCCATGCTCGGTATGCGCGTCCAAAGATGAAGTCCCATCAGTTGAGTCATTAACTTCGTCCAGCAATTGAGATGTACGTACATGGGGATTGATGGCATGTGTGTGCCTGGTGGTGTCAACTTGGGACGTGGCAGGCTGCTCAAACAGAAGAGAATTGTCATCCGATGGCACATATCCAGCAACCTCGTTGGATAATGGGTTTGAGACGTGGATGGTAGGAGTATCTTGTTCAGGCTCAGAGAAAGGGAAGGAATCTTCTATAAAACGAACATCCCGTGAGATAAAAAAATTGTGTTGTTCAAGATCATATACTCTCCAACCCTTTTGATTATGTGCATATCCCAAAAATACACACTTCACCCCCTTTTCAGCAAACTTGTCACCCTTCCTATTTTTATTATGGGCATAACACAAACAACCGAATATGCGAAGCTGATCATACAAGGGAGGTTTGTGATGTAAAAGCTCATAAGGACTTTTGTTATCAAGGAGAGGTGTAGGCAACCGGTTTATTAGATGACATGCCGTGAGTACACATTCGCCCCAAAATTTTATGGGTAAATGTGCATGAAAACGAAGTGTTCTGGCGACATCCAAAATATGTCTATGTTTCCTTTCTACTCGTCCGTTCTGCTGCGGAGTATAAACACAACTGGTCTGAAAAATAATTCCATTAGTTAGAAAATAATTTTTCAGACTTTGAAACTCCGTGCCATTATCACTTCGCACAACCTTCACTTTCTTGTGAAATTGTCTCTCCGTCATAGCAAAAAACTGCGTTAGAACCATATGCACCTCACTTTTTTCTTTTATTAAATAAACCCACATAGCGCGCGAAAAATCATCAATAATAGTTAAGAAGTAACGGGCTCCACAACTTGCAGGCACTCTATATGGACCCCATATATCGCAATGAATCAATTCAAAAGGATCAACAGCACGAGCAATACTTAAAGGAAATACATCACGAGTTTGTTTGCCACGTAAACACGCATCACAATGTTTATTTAGTTCAAACGAATGAAACAATTTATTCAAACTAGGAATACTTCGCAACACTTTCATAGAGGGATGCCCTAACCGTGAATGCCATAAAACACCTGAATCCACAGTCTTAACTTGAAAAGCTTGAATATCGGCCAGACTGTGAAAATAATAAATTCCTCCGCATCGCTTACCCACTCCAATCGGCGTCCTCGTAGGTAGGTCCTATATCACACAAATATCATTAGTAAAATATAAATCACATTTCATATCATCCATCAATCGGGCTATCGATATTAAGTTACACGTTAAACCAGGGACAAATAAAACATTTTTAATCATCACAGAGGGGCTTAAAGACACTTCGCCCATATGAGTTCCCCGCGTCACCGCACCGTCAGGCATTGTTACCGGTACACTGTCTAACTTCACAGCTTTCTTTAACATTTGAAAATTTCCTGTCATATGATACGAAGCTCCGGAGTCTAAAAGCCAGTCAGTGTGCGTACCCATACCTGAGAGTTTGTCATTAGAGGTTGACGCCTTACAACTTTCAATCATTTTGAGGAAGCTTTGCCACTGCTCACTGGAGAAGCCTGGGACTCGAGGAAATTCTGCCGTTGACTGCCCATCAGCCTCGGACTGCACGGCGTGTGCAACTGCTCTCCCACGACCACGTCCAGATCCTCTCCCTTTGGCTCCACGCCCTCTTCCAGGATTGTCAAACCACCAATCTGGGTATCTTCCAGTCCTTTTGAAGCAGTTTTCAAGATCATGTCCTCCTTTGTGGCAGTATGAGCATTTGAGTTTCTCCTTTTGGCCGTCTTCATGGCTTCCCTGTCTTGCAGCAAAGGCCATAGCCTCCGCGCGTTCTTCACGTCCCCGCATGATGTTCCGATGTCGTTCCTCCTGAGTGACCAATTGGTAGATTCTTGTGAATGCCGGCAGTTCATCGGTACTCAAAATGTTGGAACGCATCGTACCAAATGTATCACTGTCAAGCCCGAGCAAAAAATCATGTATTTTGTCGTTCTCAACTTGCTTTTGATAGGCTTTGTTCATCCCACATGTACATCCATCACATGTACACTTAGGAATGTTACGATAACCTTCATAATCATCCCATAAAGTCTTCAATCGGCCAAAGTAACTTGTGACAGACTCTCCGTTCTGCTTGCAACCGCGTATAGCATCTTTAAGTTCGTAAATCCTCATGGGATCAACCACTGCAAAACGTTCTTTCAGATCAATCCATAGGTCATAAGCACTCTCCATGTACGTGAGATTGGATCGTAGAGAAGGGTCACATGCCGTCATGATCCAACCCACCATCATGGAGTTTACCTGTAGCCAGTCTTCGAGATCGTCGCCGGTCGTCGTGGGTCGTTTGATCGTGCCGTCAATGAAAACGGTTTTCCGTTTTGCCCGGAAAGCGTTTTTCATCGCTATCGACCATTCGCGGTAGTTCCCTTCTCCCTTTAGGGTTAACCCGCAAATGTTCATTCCTGGGAAATCCGAGTTTGACAGATAATAAGGTGACCCACGGTCATTGATTTTCCGTCGAACTGGATCTCCTTGAGGTCGTTGCTCTCCGTTCGTCATGTTTGTGGGTATGGGTCGCAGAGTTCCTTGTGTGTCTCTGATACCATAAAGGAACGAAGAAGAATATATCGTAATGCTCTGACTTTATTCTCATGAGGCAACTACCTTATATACAAACAACCATTCTTGGTGTACACGTTTTTGTACCCATCAGTACACGCATGTGTCTGTGAGAGTTTTTTTTTGTCTGTGAAGCGCGGTCCACAGACATAAGTTCGCTTGTTTTGTCTGTGGAAAATTTCACAGACAAAACAAACCAGCTTTTGTCTGTGGACCGCACTTCACAGACAAAAAAAAACTCTCACAGACACATGCGTGTACTGATGGGTACAAAAACGTGTACAAGAGGAATTTTTGATATACAAATACAATCCGTTTGGCTACAACTAAGGAAGGCTATAAATTAGGAGATATAATTACAAAGAATTGAAAACAAGGAAAGAAAATATACCGATATTCACTAACTCCTATTTACATGCGTACGTCCCACTATGTACGAAATAATGTACAAAATTATTATACCACAACATAGATCTATTGCTACTCAAAATCTTTGCAAAATGAGCTGCTTCTGTATTAGTTACCTCTATCCATGAGAATTCCTTTAATAAACTCGATCATGAATTGATTGTTTTCGTCATTATTACGTACAAGTGATGTTATTTTCCATTGTGCTCTAAGTACTTATGCAACCTATCTTATGGATTAGGAACCACTTATTAAAATGAGAAGATTATACTGACATTTGACCATGAATCCATGATGATTTAAGTAAAGGGCCGGCTTATTTATGGAAATAATGAAAGACCATTGTACGTGTATGTTATAGGTGACAAAACAGGATTTGGCTGACACATATCAGCCACCATTCAAGAAGTGCATACAAGAAGCTCGTGCCAGTGGGTTAATGTGTGGTTATAACAGTGTCAACGGGATCCCAAGTTGTGCCGATCACAATCTCCTAACCATTGTTGCTCGTCACCAGTGGGGTTTTCAGGGGTACTAATCAATAATATGTAGTACGAAGTACAAAGTATATGAATGAATACATGAAATGTAGTTCACTTTCCTTCTTCCCATTCTTACTGTTTCTCTATTACCTTGGGGCATACATTTATACAGGTACATTGCATCAGATTGTGATGCAGTGAAAAATGTTTTTCGAGACCACAACTACACAAAAACAGAAGAAGAAACGGTTGCGGATGTACTCCATGCAGGTATATTATTATGTTTCCTTCCTTCTAGCTCATAATCAATTGGGAAAAAAAAACTTTGAATGTATAGTAGAATGAAATTCATGCATGAACAAAAATGTACACAGGGATGGATGTGAACTGCGGTTCCTTCTTGAGCACCTATACCAGATCCGCAGTTGACAAGGGAATTGTTTCCGAGTCAACAATCGATAGGGCTCTTCACAACTTGTTTTCTATTCGTATCCGATTGGGGTTGTTTAATGGGAGCCCTAAAAATCTCCCTTATGGAAACATATCCCGAGACAAAATATGCTCTCTTGAGCATCAGAAGCTTGCCCTTGAAGTAGCAAAATAAGGGATCGTGTTACTAAAGAACACCGGTGACCTGCTTCCCCTTGCCATTGAGCGCAAAACAACAACAGTGGCTGTGATAGGTCCGAACGCTAACAACTCGGACGTTCTTAAGGGGAACTATCACGGCCCCGGATGCAAATCTGTGGACATATTGACAGCCTTGCAAAGTTATGTGAGGACTTCCTTTCATCCGGGATGCAATGCTGTCAACTGTACTTCCACAATGGATGAAGCGCTACAATTGGCTGAAGTGGCAGACCATGTGATCATGGTGATGGGCCTGGACCAAAGCGAAGAAAGTGAAGATTTGGACCGCACAGATTTGGTTCTCCCCGGGCTGCAGGAGCGTCTCGTAACTGCCGTGGCTGATGCGGCAAGGAGACCTATCGTACTAGTTCTAGTCTCTGGCAGTCCAGTTGATATCACATTTGCAAAAGTGAATAACAAAGTTGGCAGCATATTGTGGGCTGGATATCCTGGAGAAGCAGGAGGCAGTGCTCTGGCACATACCATTTTTGGAAGGAATTACCAAAAGACGGGAGTTTCCCGTCTGACATTCCAAAAAACGGGACTGACAATTAGGTTACCAAATAACGCTAGTCGGAATTGGGAAATCCGACTAGAGAGTAGGGTTTTAAATAAAGGGTTTAACCTAGTCGGAATTGGGGAATCCGACTAGGGTTTTGGGATTTTTTTTAAATGTTTCGTGGTGAGGGATTTAAGATTTTAAAAAATAATATCAAACACCTAGTCGGAATTCCGGGATCCGACTAGGTAATTTTAAAAAAAAAAATAATTTGAACACCTAGTCGGAATTGGGGAATCCGACTAGGGTATTTTTAAAAAAAAATTGCATTTTCTTCCTTCTTAAATCGGACTCTAATTTTTAAAAAATACCAACTACCTAGTCGGAATTGGCTAATCCGACTAGGATATTTTTTAAAAAAAAAAATGGATTCTTTCCTTTAATTAATGGGATTGTAATTTAAAAAAAAAAATGCCTTGTCGGAATAGGGAAATCCGACCAGAATATTGATTTAAAAAAAAAAATTGGATTTCTTCGCAGTATAATTTAAAATAAGAATCCAATACTGTACGTACGTCGGAATTGGGGAATCCGACCAGGGGTAGGAGACGTGTTTAGTTTTGGTTCGAGTATTTCACCAAACTCCTATCTTAATAACTCTATAAAAACCGTTTATTTCTTTTCAAAATTTACAAACACACTCCAAAAACACTTCTTTCTTTCTTAACATACCATCCGCACATACCATATTCACCCAAAAACACTTTAATATATTCATAATTTTTTTTGTTTAGCATTCCCCTCTCATATTATATTTATAATATATACCATATATAAAAATGTCTAGCGAGGGCAATATTGTTGTTATGGTTCATTGGAATGGCTCTACATCTCAAAAAGATGATGAAATAGAGTACTCCATACCTCCTAGGGCGGTACTATGGGTTAGTGAAGGAGATGATTATACTACTATACATGAGAAAGTTCTAAATCATGTTAGAGGCGACGGATTTTCCGAAATTAAATTAATTCACGGAAAATTGCCAAAGTATAAGAATTCAGTATATGTTGCTTCTAGATTATGGCCCATTCACGATGAGCGGACATGGCGTCATTTTTTCCGGATCGCTACAAATGAGTATGAGGAGTTGCACATTTACGTGGAAGCTTCAGCGACCCCGCCACAAAATTTGGAGTTCCACGGAATTCCCGGAGAGGAAGGCCCATCATCAATATATGGTCGGAGGAACAACCGCCAAACGTTTCAGAACTATGAATCTCCCGGTATGTATTGTTCAATTTAAGTAGAATTTACAATGATTTGATTTTATTTGTTATCATTTTAAGAGTGTAGAAGTAGTTAATTTAGTAATTCGTAAATATTAGTTAAATTGGCATAATGAGTTAATGAGTATATATCACTGATATTAGTAATATATGTATTAGTTAGTGAATTATATACTTATCCTATCATACAAGTATATATTATTTGTAGTATAATATATTAAATAATACTAATATTATGCATAATTAGGCTAATTAATAACGGTTCAATTTAATATCTTTATAATAATATTATGCGTACCTAATTACTTATATGTGATTTATATATTACTTATATTAATTATATATTTACGATATTGATTTAGACGGAGATAGTATCACGTCGTTAAAAAAGCTATACATAGATCGCTAACTTATAATTTGTGTTAATTAGGTTTTTAGGAGTGTAGACGTAGTAGATTTAGTAATTTGCAAATTTTTTAATTTAGATTGTTAAATTTGAATTTTAGAGTTAAATTTAGCTATAAAATAGTTCAGAGTTAGAGAGAGTGTTTAATTTAGAATTGTCCTTAAATTTTGGTTTTAGGAGTGTAGGAGAAGTTAATTTTGTATTTTGTAATTGCTTTTAATTTAGATTTGTGAAATTGGAATTTTAAGTTAGTGCATATTATACTTAATATTTCCTTTATATTTCTCGCATCCACCGCATCTACCAAATTCATTATTCTCTCCAAACCATATGTGTACAAATTCATTATTTCATTTATCTTTACTAGTGTATTGAATCCAATTATAACTGTTGTTGAATTAAAATGTAAAAAAATTAAAAAATCTTCCTGTCGAATAGAGCAATTCCGACTAGGGGGGAGTTTAATTCAAAAAACTGTTTTATAATTAAAAAATCTAAATTCATGCAGACTCAGGTGAAGAGTCGGACGACCCAGATTATGAACAAGGTTTTTGTGGTGATGTGGATTCATCCACGAGGGATGATGCAGACGATGAAGTAGACACCACCTGGGGCAATTTAGAGCTACCCGAAGAATCATATGAGCTAGATTCTGAGCCTGAAAGGATCGAAATCGGCGCAGTTTACCCGTCATATGATGCACCCAAAGAAGCGGTGGCGAGAGAAAACATTCGTCAGTTTCGTCAATTCCAATCGGTTGACAAAAGGGCACGGTCCTGGAAGGCGGTTTGCATAAACCCGACCATTTGCACTTGGCATATCCAAGCAGCAGCAGGTATGACTTCAACAAAGTGGAAAGTCAAAAAATATCAACCCCATCACAGTTGTAGGGAGGATCCTGTCACGGCTCGGGATGATCAGATAAAATTAAACAGATAAAATTAATCAGATAAAATTTAACAAGATAATTTCAATAAGATAAAATGTATTCAGATAAATATAACCAGATAAATTTTATCAGATAAAATTTAATAAGATAATTTGAAAAAGATGAAATTTCATCACATAAATATAATCAGATAAATTTTATCAGATAAAGTTTAATAAGATAAATTCAATAAGATCAAATTTCATCAGATAAATATAATCAGATAAATTTTATCAGATAAAATTTAAGGTGTCGGCAACCTTAAATATTCAATACACTTTATTTCTACCTAACTCAACCGACTAGAGAAACACATTTCTTTCAATCCTAATCCTATCCGTTCGTTCGGCCTAACCGGAGACACATACTTTCCATCTTCCATTCGGTGAGGTCGGCATTAGTCTACAAGATGTGGCGGTGATCCTTGGTTTGCCCATTCGGGGTATGCCCCTCAGTGGTCCAACCATTAGGGGTAAGGATCAGTGGATCGACCTGTGCACTCAGTCGTGTGGTTTCACTCCTCTACAGACTGATATGCGCACGAGTGATATCACTATGAGTGCTGTTACCCGTCACCGGATCGTAGATGACAGTACAGACGAAGAGGTCACCCAACACACCAGGACTCTAATATGGCAATTGCTTGGAGGGTTTTTGTTCCCTGACACGAGTGGGGCAAGAATACGATTGTACTTTTTGGAGGTCTTGCAGGGTGACTTGGCTTTAGCCCGTCGCTGGAGTTGGGGATCAGCGGTTCTCGGGTACCTCTACCATAACTTGTGCAACGGCGCGATGTGGGAAACCAAACAAGTTGGCGGTTGTATGCACTTGTTACATATTTGGGCTTGGTCGAGGATTTCGATGGTCCGTCCCTCAGCACTTCAGGTCATTCAACATGGCCATCTTCCATATGGGTGCAAGTATGTTGTCAATTACATCTTAATAATTGAGAATGCTTTACATGACGTTACATTTTTTAACTTCATATCGGTAATCAATAAATGTAGGTGGATCGTCCCCAAGTCATATAAGGGATCCCCAAGACATTGCATACGCTTGTACCGGGATGACCTAGACCGCATGACTGAGAGTCAGGTAGTACATAAATTTTTTACTTCAACCGTATTATTCAGCCTTAAAATACACTATTTTTTCTAGTTTTTAAATTGCAAATTAAACTTTTTACAGTTTGATTTCACTCCCTACGCGTCCGAGATGCTCCTGCCTCTCATCCTTAATGATGCTCCGCTTTGGTCGGCTAGAGTCATGCTCATATTTTGCAATATGGCCGAAATGCATTACCCGGATCGATTCCTTCGGCAGTTCGGTATAAGGCAAGACATTCCGAATGCTCCTTTGCCGGGTACTGATCATCACGGATCTCGTTCCAACATAGTGATCGGTGCCTTGACGATGTGGGCGGACATACAACATAATATATACGTTCTTGATTATGATCGATATATGTCCCTCGAAGCAACTCAAAGGTACCGAAACTGGTACAAGAAGCATGGTATGACACGTGTCCAGAACCCTTCTCACAATGTGCCCACGACAGGCTACACCCCAACAGCACACGATTGGGGTATTGTGGTAAGTTTTTTAATACATACCATATTCGCTACCATATATCGTGTCATATTATTTACACTTGTTACATTTTTATGTAGAAGCAAGGCGTTCACGAGGTGTATCAGCTCTTAGCCGACCGCGCGAGTTATGAGGATTGTCAAAAACGATTACGGCAGATGGCCGTGGATGTAGGTGATGAAGATATGCTCCACCGGGGAATATTCCACTATGAAGATTGTGACACCTCGAAAATTATTATCAAATAAAAATAAATAATGTTCCTAGTCAGATAAATTATCACAAAAGTGAAATTTTAATAATCAAGTGAAATAAAGAAACTTTCAAAATTTAAGACGTTGTAGTCAGATAAAAACATTGCAATGATGGAAGTAACATTTTACGATAATTATGAAAGTGATAATTTTTGAAACAGATAATGGTTACACGTATGACAAAAATATTAAAAGTGACAATTATCTTTTCAAAAGTATTGGTTAATAACTTAATATAATATATGAAAATACTTCAAATACACACAAAAGTAAAAAGTTAGAGTCAAACTTTTCACACCCAAATGTGCTTGTACTAATGTATACGGGTACATAATAATTCATGCGAAGTAATATTAGTAATACTCCTAATAACTCTACGTATCAATTTTTGTTTTCTTTCTTTGTTTTGTTTCTGCACGATATTTGTGCAGGTGATGATGGTTATGTTGACTGCTGAATGCATGCGCCTGAGAGCGAGTTAGAAGTTGCCTTAGTTAAATTTAGTCTTGGAATAAACATTTATTTATTTAGTTTTATTGTTTTGTTTTAGTTGCCTGTGCATCCGGTTGAGAGATGACCGGATGTGGCGGTAACACCCATTTCCCTATTTAGACTTCCGTTGTACTCTTTAAATTTTATTATCAATAAATAAAAGTTTTATTTCAATCATATCAATGTTTTTGGGCGGGAAATTTGGGGGTGTTACAAAGATGAAGATGCAGGTGGAAGTGACGAAGAGGATGATTCACATGAACGTGAAGATGGGGGTGAGGATTCACAAGCGCCCCCTCAATTCTCAACACAGGGTGTCTCATTTGATCAACCACCCCCTCAATTCTCAACGCATCAAGGTGGGTCATTTGATCAACCACCGCCGTGTTATGATTCTTATCAGTGGTCCATACAACCTGATGATTATGTTGAGTCATTTCTGAATTCGTCTTTTTACTATGGAGACACAACGGGGGCTTGGAACACTGGCGGTGGGGACGGAGCAGGGCCGAGTACACAACTTTAGATGTTGTATTAAATTTATTATTGTATGTACTGTCTATTCATTAATAAATTACATTGAAAACTACATTTGTTTTGTTCACTTTTATTAAAATTACAAAAAAAAATTCACTTAAAATTACAAAATTGCAATTAAAACAAAATAAAAAAACAATATAAAACAATCAATTGTTTTGTTACTAAAAAATTAAAATGCTAAGTTTTCATTTTCAAAAATAATGCACAAATCTAAAAAAACTTTTAAATTTGGAAAGGGTAGAATTTAGCTCTAAAACATTTATTGTTTACAACTCAAAACCAAAACTTTATAAATTCGAAAAAAAAACTCTAGCCGGAATTGCCAAATCCGACTAGAGGTTTGGGGTGTTTTTCGAAACCCTAATCCCTGGTCGGAATTGGGAGTTCCGACTCCCTTGTTTTGGTAAACCCTCGGAAAATCCCCGTGTTTTGGCAACCCTTCCCCCCTTTTCCCGTGTTTCGGTAAATCACCCCCATTTTTGGTCACAACAATCCCGGTAATTAAACCTAAATGGAGTTATTCTTTTGAATAGAGAGTAAAAAGTTTTCCAATTTTGAATTTTCCCCTGAATTTGTCCCACAAATTTGGTCGTTTTCACCGGGGAAAAAAAGAGTAAAAAGTTTTCCTTATTTGGAGTATTTTCTTATGATCACATAAAAATGCTAGTGAAATACGTCTATCAGTCTTTTCTGTAGCACAAGGAAAATGACCACATAACAATGTTATTGGCATTTCTATGAAATGGCAATTGCTTTATTTATACACATTGCCCACTTTACATAAGGAGAATGATAACATAACAATTCTTTTGAATACTTTAAATGTCAGGTGGAAGATTGCCAGTTACATGGTACCCCAACTATTACACGCAAATCCCAATGACTGATATGAGAATGCGAGCTAACGAGTCCATGGGGTTTCCCGGCCGGACATACCGGTTTTACACCGGGGAAAAAGTGTACAGCTTCGGCGACGGCCTTAGCTATTCGAACTACACCTACGAGTTCACTTCCCCGACCCCGACCACAATAAACTTCAACAAATCAACAGCTGCATTAACGAGAGCCGACTCAGTCCGTTACTTGCATTAACCCGTACCCCACCCCTACCAACACCCTACCCCCAATTCCACACCCTTGACCCCTATCCCTACCCTTACCACGACCTTACCCTTTACCCCTACTCCCCCACAACTCACCCCATACTCGTAGGGGTGAGGTCGAGGTTGTAACACCCCCAAATTTTCCACCCAAAAATACATTTAAAAGAGAGAAAATTTCATTCATTTATTCGAAATCGGAAAGAGTTTGCAGCGGAGGTAACAATTAAAAGGGAAATGGAGTGTTACCGCCACACCCGGCCACACGCAGCCGAGTGCACAGGCAATCCCAAACAAAACAAACTAAAACAAGTTTTCAAAACATAAGTAAAGTGTTTAATCTCGTCTAAGTTCAACTAAAGCATATCTAAACCGCTCTCGGGGATCAAGCAATCGTCAATCAACATGGGCATTATCACCTGCACAAATAGAGTGCAGAAAACAAAACAAAGAAAAAGAAACAAAAATTAGCTTTAGAGCTAAGTAAGTACCACCCAACCTCTTAAAATAATCGGGTTTGTCGAAAATAGTTTTTTGGCTAAAGGGTCAAATAGGCCCTTGAACTGACTTAAAGTGTTCAATTAGCCTCTTATATAGGAGGTTCTTCCCGGCCGTCACCAATTGGGGTAGTTCCCGGTGGAATGTTTTGATGAAATTTTTTGAGCATCTTCTTCATTAAGTCTAGTTTACTCATACCAAATTTCAGCTAAAAATTCAACCGGAAAGGCAGTCAAATGAGTTTCTGAAGATAACTGCGAAGTTAAATAGCGCAGTACATTTCGGAAAATCATTTGACTGCCTTCCTGGTTGAATTTTTAGCTGAAATTTGGTATGGGTAAACTAGACTTAATGAAGAAGATTCTCAAAACATTTCATCAAAAATTTCCAAAGGGAACCGCCCCAATTAGCAACGGCCGGGCAGAACCTCCTATATAAGGGGCTAATTAAACACTTTAAGTCAGTTCAAGGGCCTATTTGACCCTTTAGCCTAGTTTTTTTGTACTATAATATAGCTTAAAAAAATTCCATTTACTTCCCACAAAAGTATTATTCAAATCATAATAATATTTTACAATCTCAAGTAATAATATTTATAACCTTCAAACAATTCACATCTCAAAAGAAGTATCACTTTTCAAGAGTAACTTTGTAGCAAAAATATCACCTTTTCCAAATCAATATCACTCTTAGATTCTATTAAGATGGGCGAAACTCGAGATTGCTCGAGCCCAATGAGTCGTTGTTGTGTACGACTGATCCTGGAATTCCGGCTCCCACCGACCACCAATTGGAAACTGAACTTCACCCTTTAGTGTGTGCACCCCCCTAAAAGGGATTCGAAGCCCCCCGAGTAGTAAGAACTAAGAAGTCCAAGTAGTTCGGACAACGTCCCCCTACCTCACAATGGGTTAGATACCCAGGTAATTAGAAACTACTACCGCAGCCACCAAAGAACTTTTCAAGTCCTCAAAAGAAATACCTGGATTGCTCCCGCCACCAAAATTTACCTGGATTGCTCCCGCCACCAAAATTTACCGGGATTTCTCCCGCCACCAAAAATCAACTGAAACCTAAACTAAACCCGTGGCATATAGCTCTAACTATCCACACCTCGTGTTTCTCTCGAGATGTCAATAATCATTATAAAAACATTATTCATTCTTGGAAAATTATTTATCTCCGTAATCACCAAAAATATCTATGTAATAGATACATCCACCAAATATTCACATTCATAAATACTCCACAATTCTTCATAAAAATTCACTCCAAAGTCATACTAGCTATGGATTAAATCCCAAAATACATCTTTAATATTTCTCAAATTCTTTGCAACAGTCACAATGGTATTAAAAATATGTAATACCCGAAAGATACATAATTTGTATATCTCAATAACAATAGATTTAGTCACCCCAAATAGTACACATTCAAATTCACACTTTAATCACACAACACATAATAATCATATAATATGAAGAAAACAATTTTGGATCGACAGAGAAACTTACATTAATCTTGATGCTCCTAGTTCTCCTCTATTCCGCTCTCTAAGTTATCACCTTTTTAATTAAGATGACAAAATTAGTCACTTATTCTATTCTTAATAATTTATCCGATTTCCCCCCTTATCCTATCATTGAAATTTAGGTTATCAATTAATTATTAATTAACCACTTTCATGAATAACCACTTTATTTTAGAAACCTCAAGTTAATGTATTAGTATCACTTAGTTCGGTCCAATGGTTAACTAGTCCATATTTTAACAATCTGTATTCTATTACTTAACCCCTTTCAATTTAATCCAATTTATGACAATCGTACATTTATTCCCTTTACAGGTGGTATCAGAGCAACCTGCAACAGTGTGCTAATACGTTAGATATCAGGCGGGCACTTATCACCCCGGGTTTTAAGATCACCCCAATTTGAGGTTTGGGAATCCTCAAGGGAACCCACAACAAAACAACCCTCCACAAAATCAATTTCCTAAAAAACAACCGTACTCTAAACCCCAAGGCCAAAGCTCAAATATGTCCACCAAAGACATGATCCGAACACTCACCTCTAATGTGTAACACCCCGGCCCCGCAGGACCCGGGGTAGTTACTCCAGACCTCTAGTACTGTCCTCACAAACCGCCACTAGCCTTTTCCGCGCACTTTGTCCCCAATTAGGATCGCAACGTCCTCGTTGCGCCCTCAAACCAATCTCAATCAAACCCCAGAATCTTTTCCCCTGCTAAGTGTCTGCCCGATATCCAACGGATCAGTACTCTGTCGCAGGGTTGCTCTGATACCACCTGTAACACCCCGGCCCCGCAGGACCCGGGGTAGTTACTCCAGACCTCTAGTACTGTCCTCACAAACCGCCACTAACCTTTTCCGCGCACTTTGTCCTCACTCGTGCACGCCCTGAGAAACTTCCCAGGGGGTCACCCATCCCAAGACTACTCCCGAGCAAGCACGCTTAACTTTGGAGTTCTTAGGTAATGAGTTCCGTTAAAAGGAGATGCACCTCTGTTGGTATGAGTAGTACTATTAATCCTCTTAAATTAATCTCGGGTATTACATAATGTCTCAACCATGCAACAAAACATGGTTCAATTTCAACATGAGACCAAGTCTAGCATCCCGAACCTTGAGACCCAAATGGGCCAAATCTCAAGTGCGGTAAGTAGACTTGAGGCCAAGGATTCGGCAAAGCTTCCATCTCAAACAGAGTCGAATCCTAGACAACAAGCCCATGCTGTGACATTAAGGAGTGGCAAAGAGTTGGTCATTGCCAATGAAAAAGAAAGAAGCCACATTGGTGAGGAAGAAGAGCTTGTGGAGAAAGCTCAATCGGAGGAAGAAGAAACTCACATCCCATCCAATTTCCCACCCAAAGTATATATTTAAAGAATGATTTACTTATAAAAGAAATAACTTTTATTCGAAAACATCAGAGTTTTACAGCGGAAAAATATTCAAAGGGAAATAGGGGCGTTACCGCCACACTCGATTCTCTCTTAACCGAGTGCACAGGCTAAAAAAAAAAAATACTCAAACTGCAAAATGATTATTTAGATCTAGTAAATTAACTACATTGATTACTGCAACTACGTTTTCTAGCGGAGGCTCTCTCAAAATCAACAACTTCGTCAAATCATCACCTGTATAAAACCATGTACAAAAAGAAAACAAAATAAAACAAAAATTAGCAACAATGCTAAGTAAGTTCCATCCAACCCCGTAAAATAATATAATTTGATACATATATATATTTTTGTAAAACACTTTGGAGAAAAATATTTTCAAAACCATAAGTAAAACGGTATTCATACAAAATCCCTCAAATAACCCTTAAACCATAATACGTCCAAAAATAC